ACATCTGGCATCAAATTATGTTCCTCATCTTTGCAAACCCAACAATCATCATCCAGCAACACCACCACCACCAAGATGGAAATCACACCCCCACTTGTTCCATCCAATGCTCCCCCACTCCCCAACTCCCGCTTGACGTCTCACAGTACCTCACCACCCACCCCACCAGCAACTCCACCCTCCATGACCCCCTCCTACTCCTCCTCCTCCTCCTCTTCATCCTCCTCATCACCCCACCACACCCCAAAATTAGCCTACCTCTCCCTCTCCTACTGCACAAACATCACCGACCCGGCCCTCCAAGACCTCATCGCAAAACTTACGCCCTCCCTTCAAGTCCTCAACGTCCTATCCTGCGGTGACCCCGGCGGTCACATCCGGCAACAGATTGAAGACGCCCAACATGCCGGACACTCTGTTGCTGTCTCGGGGGGAACTCTAGTCCCCATCTCCTCCCTTTTGCAACAACAACAACCACCCCAGACATCTTCATCATCCGTGGTGGACCAGGATTTCATGCGCGTGGAAGACCACCACCACCACCACCGGCAACAACAAGACAAATCGTCGCGAAATCTCATCTTTAATGTCCCGGATTTCATACCCTTTTGGGACGGGATCCGAACCTGAGAAAAAAAAAAGAGAACCAAAAAAACAGAAAATCCTACATACACCCACACACACAACGAAAAAAAACACACAACATACTCACTGGTTTTTTTTTTGCCATTTATCAATTTGCTAGTATTTATCCCATTTTTGTTTTTCTCCATGTTTTGCGTCCATTTTTTTTTATATTCTTGGGCTCAAAATCAATATATTCCCCCCCTTCCTCCTGTGATTTGGTTGATGCATACCTCCGTCCTTCTGGAAGTTCTGGTCTTCTGAGAATCGGATGTTGAGGTTATTTCCCCAATGGGAACGCTGCTTCAAGTCTGGACTTCTTCTCTTTTAGAGTTTTTGTGTTGAGGTTTGCCTTTGATGTCGTACTCGCCAGGGCAGGGGAGGTGCTCCTCCGTCCATGTTGGGGCGGAACCTATATACTGTTTCGTCGGGGCCCGCGATGAGTCTCGGGCAGGACTCATATATACGATAGATTATCGAACGGGAAGTCTGAGTGCACTTTGAAGATTGTCAAAAACTGTCAACCAGGAGAAGTTGTTCTTTGTTTACTTCCAGGGGTGGGATTTGACTGACAGCTTTATTTCTGGAAAGGGCCCCCCCTCCTGAACACTTTTCTCCGCCTTCACCCTTTCCTTGCATCCTATTATAAACACGATCGACACAATAATAAAGATGGGATCCCGAAAACTCACTGTCGCCATCACCATCACCGTAATCCTTCTCGTCGCGTCGGCATCATTCGCCGTCTGGCTCTTTCTCCGACGGCGGTCAAATCATCAACGCGATAAAACCTTTGCTCATGTCCCATCATCTTCTTCTTGTTCTTCTTCAAACTCATCTGTGTTTGGGCGGCATGATACGGCCCGATTATCGGACATTAGCCTACAAGAACTCGAATCAGGAAAGAGTGTCGCGTCTCCTCCGCCTCGATCTGCCGTCAAATCAGAGTTTCAGTATACGAGGCCTACACCTATAACCCATGAGCCCAGTCATCATCAACCAGAAGATGGATTCTCAGATATGATATCCAGGTTCCCACCGACCCGTCCATCCCCTGCAACAACTACCGGCCCCCAACCCATCCGTAAATCTTTTGCCTCGACATCCTACTCTCGCCCCAGCACATCCTCCAAACAAAACCTCAAACGGACCCCGTCGCTCGCTTCCAAATACTCGTCCCGGACCCATTCCCATTCCGTCCTCTCCCTCACGTTAGCCGATCCGCTACCGTGCCCCAACCTCCCCTTCTACTCGGCGAAATGTGTGACGCAGTATGAGCCCTGTGAGACGGATGAAGTGGGACTGGAGCCTGGGGATATCATCAAAGTCATGAAGGTGTTTGAAGATGGTAATGTTGCTATAGGTGAACTACGGGTGAAACATCCTTTGGCTGAACTTCTTTTTTTATGCTAGGTTGGGGATGGGGGATTAATACGAGATCCAACAAACGAGGCGTGTTTCCTGTTGTTTGTCTGGGTAATGACAACTAAAGAAGTCATTGTCTGCCGCTGGTCGGTTCCTTTTTTTTGTATGTGCAGCTATGTGTAAATTTTGTATATACTATCATCATCCGTTGTATTTGGCAAAGGAACCGATGAATGCGAAACAACAAAAAGTGATGTATTTTTTTCCGTGAAAACAAACGAACAAAAAGAAAATCATTGTACAGTATAAGACGAACCAAACTCAAAACCAAAGGACAGAACAAAAAACTATATATGGATATGCAGGGGAAATCAACAACGACATTATGAAACTAAGGGCGACCGGCGGCGACGACGACGGAGCAAAAAGTCCCCAAAATAAAAAGGTGCTAATCCTGACTAGGTGGAGTGGACACGTTCCTGGATGACATGGGCGTAAGATTCATTGCGGGTCGTCAAGATCACGGTAGGGGAGCCCGGGGTGCGCTCGGCTGATTCGGGCGAGCTGGTGGCCATGCCGCGGAGCTCATCGAAATTCTTGATGGCGGAATTGGCGCAGGCCTTTTCGGCGGCTGCAATGCGGGTGAGGGTTCCGCCGACAGCGTTGCGGTACACGCCGGCAATTCCTCCGGGAACCGAAGCGACCAAGTCGTAGGTGGATTTGGCGGCATTGGTCGCCGTGTCGGATACGAGGGTCACGCCTCCACCCAATGGTCCTGGGAGCACGTTGACGGCTGTGGTGACAGGGTGGGCAACTGTGGTGGCAAGGGCTCCATAGGTGGTCTCCAAAGTGTCGGAGAGGCGGGGGGTCAAAACCATGCGCGAGGCTGATGTTGTTCGACGCGCATAAGAATCGAACGCGTGAACGGCATTGCTAGAGACCTCGTAGGTCTTGTTCGCGACGGTTGACGTGACGGAGGATGCGGCGCCAGTGGTCAGACTGGCCGTCTTGGTAACGACCGAGTCTACTGCCTGGACATACAGGCGTACTCCGTAGGATGTGACTTGGCCTGACAAGGCTGCCGTAGTCTTGACGGCCAACAGGTTGGCCTTTGCCAGAGCAACCGCTGCTCCAATTGGGTAGGCCGCCAGATAGGCTCCAGTGGCCAACATTTGCTCGGTCCAGGTTTTGGCCTTGTCGCTGGCCTCTGCGAGCTTCTCGCTCGACGCGTGGACCGCTGATCGAGCAGTTTCCGCCGCCAAGGTCAGCTTGGGCTCTACCCGCTGCTTGACTGGCTCAACTAAGCCGTTGACGCTGTCAATCACGTTGGCGACGATAGGTTTAACGGCGTCAATCTGTTCAGAGACCTTCTTGGCTGCCTTTTTCTTGGAGGATGCCGCAGCATCTTGCGTCTTGGTGGCAGTTTCTCGGGCAAAAGCCATTGGGGAGGACGGGATGCTGTTGGTGCCGCTCAAAAGACCGTCGGCCTGGTGTCGGTGAATCAGGGGAGATGCTACGCTGGCAGACATTTTCGGATGATTGGAAGTTGAAGAATACGTGCAGGGAAAAGCGTAAGAAAGATGGAGCTCTATATATAATGGAAGAAGGACTGACAGTTAGAAATTTTGCTTCATATATAGCCGTTCGTCATGGTCCGCAAGCCCCTGAAGCCCGCACTCAGTCATCAAAAAATCAAGTCAAGACTCTTTTGCCAACACCTGTCAGTCCAATTGCCCACCACCGCGTTTCCACCCATGTCTTTCAGCAAGAGATGGGATACTTACATGATATGATGTGCGGCGAAAGAGCTAGAGTCGTAAGCGTGCTTGAACGAGTTGGAAACGAGAGAGAGAAACTAAAGACGGGAGAGGGAAAAATGGGTGAGATATGGTTCTTTTAAAGGCCTGAGGTGATCCCTCTTCTTTAGTGTTTGAGGGACCCCAAAGAAAGAAGACACTCTCGATCAAATTCTGCGCGCTCTTGTTTATACCCGTCCATACTTTTCCTCCCCCATCGCATCAACTCCAGAAAACACTATACGAACCTGCTTCTGAACGCTGAATGCAAGTCGACAGCCAAAATAAAAAACTGCTCGAGAAAAGACTATAGCATAAAGAAGGGGCTTGCATGCCATTGCCCGGCCTATATAGGATTCCGGCAGCTGCTGATTGGCCAATGACATGTGCGGCTCGCCCCTGGCTGTTTGGCGCGTCAAAATAACTTTGAGCCAAAACGCGTCGTGCCATCTTCTTCTTTCAGATCTTCTCGAAGCTCCCATTCGTTTGTCTACATCTGTCCAAACACATTCGAGATGCGGATTGGCGTATTTTCAGTTGATGGAGATATAGTCAAAGTAGAATAAGACAAGGCATCTGGGAGCAGGTTTGCATATCATAATTATAGAGACCACGGAATAGTGTTTATTGGGAGCACGGAACCTCGTCAAACGTCTATGTACGATACTCGTAGCAGGTCCCACCGGACCCCACCAGACGCCAAAGGTCCGGGGGTCCAAAATGCATGCCTGCGTGAAACAGATGAACAGCTACCCACATTAGACAACTGCCAACGTTCCCGCCCACGACCGTGGACCCGTCCCTGCAATATGCTGATGATCTGGGTCCATCTGAGCATCTCTACTCGAGTACGAGTACAGTAAATACCGGTCGTACCCGGCATCCGGAGTATCATAGCTCGACATCTTGGTAATCATATGGGGTCTTATTGTATACTTGGCCCGGATTGCATGAACATCGCTGGCGTAAGACCGTAAAGTTTGAATCTTGTACATCTTCCGGGATCCCAAGTGGAAATCTCGCTGGTCAGAGGTGATTTCCAGTTGGACGTTCAAGATGGATTATGCAGTGCTGCCCACCCTGGCGTCGCCTTCAAAATTCATCTTTGGGCCTGCATAATGCCAGATGCCAGACCCGGCCCTTGCCCTGGTGTTGGACGGAATGATATGAAATGCTACCAATATGAGCACAACGACGAAACACGAAAACACACAAGGCCCTGTGGGAAAGTGGATAATCCGCTCCCCTCCGGAGGGAGAGGTCCCAGGTTCGAACCCTGGCTGGGTCGTTCTTTTTTTCCCCTTTTATTTCTAGTCCTTACAACCCTCAGGAATACGTTGGGCAACTTTTCAAGCCGATCCTGTGTGTTTTCGCACCGTGAGAGGCGTTTTGGTGCACTGCGACAATCGAGAAATTCAAAATTCCAAGCGCGTTGTAAAGCTGGTGGCACAGTCGCAGGAATCGGCAGGATGTGCTGCGCCGACTTGGAATCTGCCAGGGAATTTCGTTCCACCCTATATGGAACACCCGAAGCTATTGGGACGGCTGTCCTTTGCTGGGGGTGCGTTTGCACGGACCAAGCAGTGCAGGGACAAAGACGTCGAAGAGATGAATAGGACGTCTCATACATGGCACAGCCAGAACTGTCCAAAGAAGCACTTTTTTCTTTTTTCCTGTTCTCAGCTTTTTACACGACAGATGGTAACAGATGCACTGTTCCCAATGAGAACCAACGAATGTGCCAATCTGGTGGATACAGCATCCTTTTATTTCTTCAAGTTTTGAAAATTCTGCTTCCCCAACATGTACAACGTTGACACAGTGCATAACCGCGTACTATGCGCTTCAGCGCATAGTACGCGGTTATGCACTGTGTCAGAGTGCTTGAGCGCTGACTACGTTGATCAAGAGGACGCCTCTACTTATCCTGTAGAGTTCCTCAATACTCTGCAGCTTTCGGGACTTCCTCCCCACAAGCTTGAGCTCAAACCTGGCCAGTTTGTCATGCTCCTCAGGAACCTCAACCCTTCGCGTGGTTTGTCAAACGGAACTCGCTTGCGACTACTTGAGGTGGTATCGCAACGGCTTCTACGCTGCCAAATCATTGAAGGGCCCTTCACTGGCAATGTGGTTCTTATCCCGCGAATCACACATCGGTGCAGTGATTCACGGATGCCGTCTACTTTGTATCGGCGACAGTTCCCGGTCACTGGCGCATTTGCCATGACCATCAACAAGTCCCAGGGACAGTCTTTCAACCATGTTGGCGTATATTTGGGCACTCAGGTCTTCACCCATGGTCAGCTGTATGTGGGTCTTTCGCGAGGTCGTCACCCAGACCAAATTAAAGTTGTGACTGGATCGGAAAATGCGGGCGATGGAGTTCAGAATGTGGTCTTTTCCGAAATCATCTGAATTCTTCCTTAAATGTTGGCGATTCTTACTTGAAGTTACCATGTTGGCAATTCTCAGCACATGAAGCTGTATAGTTCCAAAAATTAATATCCTGCATGTTTGGGGTTCATGCATTCAACGTCCCCCTGTTACTATACAACACAATGTGTGGGTATGGCTAAGATGATAATAACTTCCATCTTAAAGCTGAGGGAAATGCAATGACCAAATCAAAGAGATCTACTCGCAAAATAACATAAAGGATGAAAATTGTGATGCATATATGTGGAACATGTATTATGTGCGTTCGCCATCGTTCTCACGCATAAAGTCGATGCGCGCTGCGAAGCGAGGCGCGCCAACCGCTAGCATCAGCTCAGCGCACCCCGGCCTTTAATTAGCAAACGGCACAGTCATCATACTATTAGGTAATCCGATCCGACATGCGTGCTCCACCATACGTTTTTCAAAAACATTCGTCCACCATCTGTCCATTTCCCTGCAAACTTTACGACTAGACACACTCACTAAAACCTCGAAACGAAGCTCAAACGGTATGGGAAGCGTATACTGTGACTTTATCTAGGACTCTACTCACAGCAGCCTAGAATTCAGACGCGCAATCCACAGTATGCCTCCGAAGCGGAAGGTGATTTGGGCATCTTCATGATCTTGCAAACAAACCTTTATTTCAATATAGTAATCGGCTCTCCTTCTTTGTTGACTTTCATTTGTTGTCATCATTATAGCGTCAGGTCGAAGGCGGTCTTGACTGGTTCACTCAGGTCCCGGGAAAAAAGCTTGGAAAATACTATTACAAACCTGGTTGCATCAGCTGTGGGACCAAAAACTCTGGTCGATTTCACAAACTTCATTGGTCAGAGCTGGATAGACTACAGATGACCGGCCTGAGCTTCCAGTTCGGCTTTGGATTCCATTCCCCATATGCTTGCGATGCTTGCCGCAGCCGATGGTACAAGGCCGGCTATTTGGAACCCACTATAGTCCAGAATCCAGAACAGGACAATGCTGAGCATGTCAATGAAGATGGTGATGGCCATATTGTTATATTGACCGACTTTGACGAGCCCGAGGATGTAGATGCTGTTGTCGCCACTACATTGCAGGTACCAGATCTCAGTCCTGCCACGATTATCGAGTATCAACAGGCTCTGCGGGATCTGGTCGCTCGCCCTTTTGAAGGAAACCCTTTCATTGACATGGATGGGTTCATAGCTCAGTATCCACGTGCTTATGAGCTCAAGGCTCTCATCGTCGGTACTTCTGAACAACATTCCGTATTGTACCAAGATCGCAAAAAAAGATCTATCATCTTTTCCATTTGTTACGACGGGCAGGCCTTGGATCGAAAGTGCGACTACATCAAAAGATATGTTGGCCATCAGTTTATTACCGCAACACACACGGATCAGAGATTTCTGTCGAGGATGAATCTGTGCTACCATCCGTCCAAGTCGATCACCCGCATCAATGACATTATTGTGACAGCGCAAGAAAATGTCATTCAAGACATTATGGAAAATGACCCACTCTTGGTTGTCACCATTGATGATTTTCACTGGTGCCAGATTCGGGCTGTGCCAGACACCTCAAACGCACCCGGAAAGTTTACGAGCGCGAGGACCACCGCGAATTATGCGGTAAAGTTACATAGGACATTGCCACCTCTCCCGCCTGCGATCGGCGACATTACAGCATCTGTGTTGCAGGACGCTTCGTGGATTCCTTTGGTCATTGACGCTCCCGCAACACAGACATACGCTGAAGTCCGTAAAGGAGAAATTTTGTCCAAGAAACTTTACGCGTATAGTATGGCAACCAAGGCCGGATCTCAAAAGGATCTTCATATTATTGGCAGTGACGATAACCCCATGAAGTGCGCCCTGGATCTGCAGCCGGTCATGGACAACCTCCAGACATTCTTGTCAAAAGTGGGTTATCCTGACAGCACTGGCTCCTTCAACAAGTCCGTCATCCTGGCCGGCGATTTCTACGTCTGGATGTATGCTACCAAATTGCTAAAATCGCCCAGGTATAGCGCTCTCCAGTCTCACATCTTGCCGGTCCCGGATCTCATGCATGTAGCCCTTAACTCACAAGAGGCGGTCCTAGTCCATGCTTGGACTATCATTCATCCCCTCTGGGTCGCTGGATATCCGGAGGTGGAAAACACCTCGCCGATCAACATGCGACCCAAGCGACGGACGGCCATGCTGGCCCTCGCCATGACCGCTTGGCAAGAGTGTCGCCAAGAAATCCTAAAAAGCTATAACTTGCGTGCAGCCGGTAACTCCCAAGCAACACCGGTACGAAAGGCAATGTTAGACTCGATTATATCGGTGTTTGAAGAACTCATTCCTCTTTCGGTCGACTGCCCATATTTGCTATCGAGTGGGGACATTGACCAAATCAAGATGTGCCTCAACCGGCTGTTTCCATTGTTTGCTCTTCTGGGGAAGAAAAACTATGTTAATATCATTCTTTTCCAGCTCGGTCTCTTAGAAAAACTTCCTTCTCATCTTCCAAAAGATGTTGCTATGGCTTTGCTCTTTTCCACCTTCTCAAGTGAAGATTTAGAAGTCTTTCACTCTGTCCTCCGGGCTGCAATTCGCTTTCAAGATACCAATGAGCAAGTATCCAGGAAAGCCCTGTTGATTACTGCCATGAGGGGTGAGTCTGCCTTAAGGCAGCTTGCTGCTATGACGGAACGGGAGTTAGAGCTACGTGGTCGACCAGTCTCTCCGATTGACGACGAGGCGGCTACCTCTCGTACGGCCCAATCCCCTCTAGAAAAGGCAGCGGAAGATGTTGTACCGAGGATGGTTGCTTATCTTCGGGACCTTTTCTCTACTCTCTTCTTATTTTCATTTGATATTATTGGGCAAACGGCAAAGATGCCTTATGCATCCGCGCTGCCGCATTATAGCCTTGTCATCAAGCCGCTCTCACCATTACAACCCACGCCCCTTTCGTCATTCCCATCGTCACCTTCATCATCCAGCAACAAGGAGAACCCCGGTGTTGTTGCCCCATCCAGCGACAAGGAGACTCCCGGGGTGGTCGTAGCGACCATTCGGGAATCACTTGTGCCATTGCCACTGCGGCGGCAACCGTTCATTAACCTAGGGAATCACATCGATATTCAAAACTGCCAAAGTGTTCCGATGCCACTTTCGAAAATCCCTCTTGCCGACAGTACAAATGGGAACGGAAAATCCCCCAGCAAGGCCAAAAAAGTCCGAGACTTCCTGAAAGTAGACTCCTTGAAAGAAGATCTTGCTCCCTGTGGTTGCATCGTCGCCAATTGCCAATGTAAAGCAATGTACCAATGGATTGCCAACAAGTCCCTTACTCACTTCTCGGCCAACATCGACAAAAATCCGGTGCGCGATCTTGAAGGTAAGTAAAAGCAACCGTCGTTTCGCGAGCAATATCCTTTATTTCAATGAACGGACGACCTTATCTTTGTTCTTTAACATTACCAGAGTCATTTTTTTCAACCTCAGTCTGATTGCTCTTTTGGCTGCCGTGTTCTCACCATTTATGTACCCCCGCCAATTTCCTTGAAAATCTTAAGCTGCCTGTTTTTGGGGCCAAATTCCGTCTGTTATATAGTTCCAAGATAGCGTATACCCCGTATATAGATCTCTAGATATCTTTCTTTCATCACATACTCTCGGTAGTGTTATTTCATATAAGGTTTTTGGTACTCACTGGTACCAACTCATTGTTCAGGAAATCTTTCGGACTTTCGGACATTTGCTTATGTAAATTTTGGCGGGAAAATCCCGGGGTGCGCTGAGAGCATCAGTGTATATTTATTTTAAGGTAGTAGGTTCCTGAGTGTTGGACCAAGGAAAGGATTCGGAACTG